TCCTGCCTCCGCCTCCCGAGTCAGTGGGATTCCAGGTGGGTGCCACGGTGCCCAGCCACCATTCTGTTTCTTTGTATCCACATTGTTTCTGTTGAGAACTGTTGGCCCGATTGGTGCAGCCTTGTAGGTAACTCGTTTCTTTTTCTTCTTTGGTCATCTTTAACATTTTTGTTTTGGCTTTGGTTTTCAGTAGTTTTACTCTTAACATGCTCAGATATAAATTTCTTTTTATTTGTCCCACTGGGGTTTGTAGGCAATTGAATATGGAGCTTGATGTCTTTCAGAAATTTTGAAAGGTTCTCAGCCATCAAATTCTACTCCTGTCTCCTTCTCGTCTCTCCTTTGGTGACTCCAGTTATACACAGAACTTTTGCCTGTACCCTCTAATTCTTTCTTTTCCACTTTTTTGTTTTTTTGTGCTTTATTTTGGATATTTTTTCTCCTATCTATCTTTATTATCTCTTGTCATCTGTATCAAATCCACCTTTGTAACTACCCATTGGATTCTTTTTTTTTAATATACCTTTATTTTATTTATTTATTTTTATATGGTGCTGAGGATCGAACCCAGGGCCTCACATGGGCAAGGGGAGTGCTCTATTCCTGAGCCACACCCCCAGCCACCCACTGGATTCTTAATTCCAATTATTCTTAATTTCAGAACTTCCATTTTATTTTTTAAAAATATATGTTTGTTATCTACAAAGATATTTGGTTTATATTTTTCATCTTCACAAACAGAGTGAATACAATTATTTTAAAATCTGGTCTAATAACTTCAACATCTGCCACCTTCTCCCTCATTGGTGTTTCTATTGTCTATTATTTCTGCTGGTTTTTAATCATGTAGTTATGTTTTCTTGGGAACCTGGTTTTTTTTTTTGTTGTGCTCAAAATTGTAACTGCATGCAATTGTTCATAGTACTAACTTGAAATTTAAGGTGATCTGATCTTCCTGTAGAAATAATTTATTGTAGTTGTTCTTTAATCAGATGCTTGGGGGCAACCCAAATCTGCCATCATGTCAATCCAGTCTCAGCAATTATGATGATTTATAGCTAAGTGATAGGCTTTGTAGGCCTCAATTTATTTTGGTGACCTTTCATCCTATGGTGTAGCCCTTTAGAGCTTCTTTACCCAAGGAAGTTATCAGAGATGAGACCAAAAATGTGCACCCAAGGTTCTCCATTTCAACATTATAGTGTTTATAAAAATGAAAGCTTAGACCCGGGTGCAATGGTGCATTCCTGCAAGCCCAGCTACTCTAGAAACTGAAGCAGGAGAATCATAAGTTCAAGGCCAGCCTGGGCAACTTACCAAGACCCAGTCTCAAAATAAAAAGATGAAAAGAGCTGGGATGTGGCTCAGTGGTAGAGTCCTTGCCTAGTATTTGTGAGGCTCTGGGTTCAATCCCTGTACCACAAAAAGAAAACACACCTAGGAGCAGCTTATAATGGGTTGAAAGATGGTTATTAAACACAACGTATCTGTGGTGAAGGCGTAGCTTAGCATGTGCAGGGTCCTGGGTTCCATCCCCATCACCACAAAGGGAAAAAAATCAAGAATAACACTGAATTATTGGGAAAACACAAACTGTATTATACAAGGCATTAAAAATATTTGTCTACATATCCAGTATAATTTCATTTTTGTAACACAAAAAAATGTTTGGAAAACATCCTATCAAAATGTGATGCTACAATTTTGGGTGATTTTTATTTTCTCCTTTTCACTCTTATTTTGTCTTTCAAATTTTCTATAGTAAATGTTTAATACTTTTGTAATGAAGGAATAAAATTAAGTTAGTACATTTTTTTTTTTAAAGATAGTTTCCTAGAAGCCCCTCCCCAGCTCTGTAAATCTCAGGATGAAGATCCTGACCCCCTTTTGTGTTCTGGGTTCTGTGGCGAGGAGATGGTGCTAATCAGTGGACTTTGATTTTGGTGATGAAGTTTGGTGATGGTATGACTAACCTGAAAAACATTTCAAATTGTGTTTTAATAAAGCAACAATGTAAAAGAAAAAGAGAGAGAGAGAGAGAAAAAAAAAAAAGATTGTTTCCCAGGAGAGCCATACAGCCACCTTGGACAGGTAGATGGCACTCGTTAGTGTCTGTTTCATTGTCTGGGAGCATTTTTTAATGTCAAGGAATCTTTTCTTCATTTAAAAAAAAAAAAACACCTTAACTTTCAAGTTGCAGATGGTGCAGAAATCCGCTTGCCAACAGTCTCTGCTCTTGGGGTGCTAAAGGTCTACCACAGAAGGCGCAGGAGCATACAGGAATGTTCAGGATGTAAAGATGAGACACAAAGCCAAAGGCAACCGGAGAATGGCAGTCAGATCTTGATGTTGGAAAGGAACCTCAGAGGACGTCTGGCTTAATCCTTAACCTGGCAAGAATGCCCTAGAAAGAGAGGGATCTGCTAGAGTTTGGGATGGCTGCATCTGACCGGTCCTGCCTCTGCAGGTTGTTATTTGGACTGCTGCTCAAGTGCCTCAGGTGACTGGTTTCTCACTGATTTTTAAGGAAGCCAGCCAGTTCCTGTAGGGGACAGTTTTAATTGCTGGAAAAGTTAGTGAGTTACTAGCATCAGACGGGCAAGGGCATTTTAAGGTGAAGTTCACAGACCACTCGAGGAAGGTCTCTTCTGTGATTGGCAGTTTCGGGCTCCCGACAAGTACCATTTGGGCAAACTGTTCTGTTGGCCCAGCAGTGCTTGTGGTCAGATTCATTTTTTTGTTTAGTAAACAGAGATGTGTGTTCTCACAGAGTAACTTTGAGCTAAGGTTTTGGGGAAATAAGGTCCATGTTTATGATAAACACTCAGCCAGTTTTCTTTTTCAGTTTTGTCCACATGAAACTAAAGGAGACCAGACAGCCATTCAAGATTGCCGGCCTGTCTTCCCGGCACCTGGCTTCTTTCCTACGGCGTCCTTCTGGCCTCTGACTTTCCTTTGCTCTCTGGTTCTCTTTCCCCCATCTTCTTGTCCAGACTGTGCACAGGCCCCAGGGGACACAGAAAAACCTGAGTTGGGGATCCTGGATTCCAGTTTCCACTTTGCCACTTTCTGTGTGACCATTGAGAAGTCCCATAACCTTGGCCATGGGACTACCCATGAGATATGGTGGGGACTCTCTGGGTTGGGGGAAGTCCCAAAGGGGAAAACCCAGGGGAGTGGTGCCTTCAATCGTTTTTTTTTTTTTTTTTTTTTGCGGGGGGGAGGTACCAGGGATTAAACTCAGGGGTGCTTGGCCACTGAGCCATATCCCCAACCCTATTTTGTATTATTTAGAGACAGGGTCTCCCTGAGTTGCTTAGCTTTTGCTGAGGCTTTGAACTTGTGATCCTCCGGCCTCGGTCTCTCTGGGATTACAGGCATGTGGCACTGTGCCTGGCCTCCAATCATTTTTGAGAAGACCTTTGTCTAGGGTCCTCAGAACTCACTGGAGGTGATAAGAGATCCCCAGAGGGCCTTTGTTCTGTGTGGCACCTGACAGCAGAGGGTGGTAGGGACAGCAATGAAATGAAAAGACCCCAAGAGTCAGGATTTTTATGTTCTGCTTCCGGCTGTGCCACCAGTTAGCTGTAGGATCTCATGTAAATATGTCACCTAGCTGGGGTTCTGTTCATCTCTAACCTAGAAGAGTTGGATTCGATGTTCTCTAAGTTCTCTTCCAGCGGTACAATTTTCTACTCAATGCAGGACTTTTTTCATAGCTTTATTGAGGTAAAATTGAAGTATAATAAAATGCACATATTTGAAGTATGCAATTTGATCAGTTTTGACATGCATGCAACCAGTACAATCAATATAAAAAAGCACTTCCATTACTTTTTAAAAATTTGAAATCCTACAGACTGTGTTTCCTGCATGATTTATGTCATTAGAAACCAATCACCTTAAGACATATAGAACTCCACCCCCACATGTCAACTATTTCAAAATTAAGTGGCACACTTATGGGCTGGGGATATAGCTCAGTTGGTAGAGTGCTTGCCTTGCATGCATAAGGCCCCGAGTTCTAATCCCCAGCACCCCGCCCCCCCCCCCCCCCCCCACAAAGTCAAAATTAAATGGCACACTTATAAATCTCTCTCAGGTCAAGGAAGAAAAGTAAATAAAAAGTGCTTTGAACTAAGTGACAATAAAAGCTTAAAATATCAGAATATCTGTGATGAAACAATATTCAGATGAACATTTATAACTTAAAGTACTTGTATCAGAAAGAAGCTAGATTGACAATCAAATTATTATCAAATGAGGTGGTAGGAAGGAAAAAAGAGTAGGAGCAGAAATATATGAAATAGAGAAGAAATAAAACAGCCAAATGTTGATAAAAATCAAGCAAGTCTAATCAAGGAAAAGACAAGAACACAAAAATTGGCATCAGTGGAAAGGGAACTATCAAAATAACCCTTCATATGCTGACAATATACTAAGGTGACTACGATTGCATGCCAATATATGCAATCGCTTATACAGCGAGGTCTATATTAGAGAAGGATTCATTGCTTCAATGCAGGATGTAAAATAGAGTAAAAAAGAGAAATGAGCTAGTAAATTTAATTTTTTAAAAAGAAGGTAGAAAGTTGACCCTCTCAGCAACTCGGGGGGCTGAGGCAGGAAGATCACAAGTTTGAGGCCAGCCTCAGCAACTATTGACACCCTGTCTTAGAATAAAAAAATAATAATATTAAAAAAGGGCTGGGGTGTGGCTCAGTGTTGGAGTGCTTCTGGGTTGATGTGCAGTACCACTTGCATCCAAGCAGGCATACATAAATAAATAAAGTAGAGGTGGAAACTGAAAAGAAACTCAACAGTGTAGTTTACGGTCAGTATTATCACGGAAAGGCAGATGACTGGGGAAGGGCTTCAGGTGTGAAGCTTAGAGAGACTGTGGGTGACATCCATCCAAGACCAGCTCAGGTATTCTGCTCTCTGTCGGATGACCTGTTCTTTGCCTTCATCTCATTTCCAGTTGCTGCGTGATGTGGCAAGTGAGGAGACAATGAAAGCGACGTAAAGCGGCTCTGCTCCGAAGAGGAGGAAAGAAACAGCCCCCACCAAGGTCTGGCCAAGAAGCCAGCGGAAGGGCCCCCAGGGAGGAGACTCTGCTAAGAAGCCAGGTAGCTGTGGGCTGGGGCGGGAGCTGGAGGGGGCAGGAGGCTGAGGAGGTGTTGGAGAGAGCCACCAGGGGTGTTCTGTGTGCCAGGGACAGAGACCTGCAAACAAGTCAGGGCCAAATGGACGCTGGATGGTACCAGTGCCCAGAGTCATATTGCTGGAGGGAGCTACCTTACATGGCAGGGGTGATCCTGGCTCCAGCGAACATAATTTCTTCTTTTTTTTTTTTTAAAGAGAGAGAATTTTAATATTTATTTTTTTAGTTTTCAGCAGACACAACATCTTTGTTTGTATGTGGTGCTGAGGATCGAACCCGGGCCGCACGCATGCCAGGCTAGCGTGCTACCGCTTGAGCCACATCCCCAGCCCCAGCGAACATAATTTCCATCTCTATGTGCTGATACATGAACTCAATGACGGTGTTAGTGTCAATAAATTGGAGTGTGTGTGTGTGTGTGTGTGAGTAGTGAGAAAGTTGAATGTGAGTTCCTCTCTTTTTAGCAGTCTCAACTCATTCTCTTCTGTCCTGGGCACCTTCTTATAGTGTAAAGAATCATGAATGGTGGGGTCAGTGCCTGGCCAGTGGTGCACACGGTTAGGCTCAAGTGCATGAGAAAATTCACTGTTTGAAATTGGGGATGTAACTCAGTGGTTGAGCACTTGTCTACCACGTGCAAGGTCTTGGGTTCAATTCCCAACACTGGAAAGAAAAAAAAAAAGAATTTATGATCTGAATGATAATGTGGCTGGAAGTGAGTTTGGAAACATTGGGTGCCATTTTTAGAAAAGTTGCGTTATTTTCCCAGCTAGATTATGATTTTTGGATTAAATCCCTTGCAAGCATTTTAGCTTGCTTTCTACTTAACCCCTTTCATTTTCTAAATGATGATGATCTCCTGTAAGTTGATCTGTACAGCTGAACCTGGGCTTATGCACAGTATCTTCCTAATCCTGGGTATGAACATCGAGTGAGGGCACAGGCACCCTCTGCATGAAGCATTGTCACTTGAAAGATTCGGGGGCAGCACTCTCTCTCAGCTCTGCAACATCTGTTTTCCAGAAAGTCCATGGGGGCAGAAAGGGCCTCACAGAGACCTTCAAGGACAGTGTGAACTGGTGACAATTGGCAGCATGCCACAGGCTTGCCTAGATAGGGGGAACCGTGGTATCAAACCCCAGAATCAAAACCAACAATTTTTGGGGTGATAGAAAGGGTTGCTCCAGCTCTATGACTGTGATTTTTCTTCAGTCCTAATGCTTAGACTTAGTTGTTCTTTTCCTTCAAAGTACTGATTTAGTTGGAAAAATATATGTGTGTGTGTGTGTGTGTGTGTGTGTGTTTAATGATTAACAGGAGAATTGTTGCCCTTTTAAAAAGTCAGTGAAGCAGTTAAAGGAGCAGGAGTGTACTCTCTGGACGCGGGCAAGTCGTTTGGTCTCAGGATTCGAGAGGAGCGGGCTGGGCTAGATCTTCCTTCTCACAAGTCACGGGAACTCCTTTTTGGAGCCCGGCTGTGTTTGGTTCTTGTTTTTCCTCCTTGCCCTCTTCCTTCCCTCTGAGATCATCCGTGCCGAGTGTGGGAGGTTTACTTTGGTTTTGGAGACACTGGATTGCACTTGTCCTGTCCCTACTTTCTGAGTTGGTGATGCAGGAAACGTGGCACCCGCGAAATTGAGCCAAGGCAGGAAGCTCCCGAGAAGCAGAGGGCATCTTTGCAGGGTGCCAAGGGAGGGTCTCAGATGTCTGTAATGGGTAAGGAGGAGTGGGGGTTCCTGTTTTCTACCAGGAAAATGAAGTCCACGGATCTTTCGGGATCATCCGCAGTCTCTCTCTCCCCTTGAAAGAAACCCTCAAACCCTCCCGCGATGCTTCGCTTTCTCTTCAGCCACTGCCCTCCCCGCCTCTTTCTCTTCAGCCTGATATTTTGAGAGAGCGGTCTGTCCTCGATTTCTGCACCTATCTTTTCCTCAGCAGCCACTGACTCCCTGACTCCTGGCTTCTTTGAATTCTGTCCCCTTCACTCCATTGAAGTAGGTCCACTGGTCTCCAGTCACCTCCAGATGCTCCGAGTCCTCTTCAGGACCATCCATGACTCCTTCCTTCCCTTCTCCTCCCTCCCTCCCTTTCCTTCTTTCTTATGGTGCTGGGGGTGGGACCCAGGGCCCGGGACATGGCAGGCAGCTGCTTGACCTCGGACTGTGTCCTTATAAAGAGGCGGGATTTGGACACAGGGACTCACATCTGCAGGTCAGGCAGAGACTGGAGGGAGGTTTCCATAAATCAAGGAGTACCAAAGATTGTCGCAAGCCACCAGGGGTCAGGCAAGAACATGGAACAGATCCTTCCTCACTGTCCACCAGAGAAACTAACCCACCAACACCTCCTCTTCAGATTCCAGCCACCCAAAGTGTGAGCCAGTGCATTTCTGCTTTCTAAGCCCCCGGTCTCTAGTATGCCAGGGCAGCCCTGGACACTAATACCTGCTCCGCTCTCCCCGGGCTAGTGGTTCTCCAGTTTGGCTTCATGGCCCTTTATCCTGTTAAAATCTGAGGTCAAGGCAAAGATGGCCTCTTGCTCTTCTCCTTTTCAAGATCATACGGGAAGTCCTGGCCAATTCCCTCCGACCAGAAAACGAAAGAAGAAATTAAACTAGCTTTGTTTACATAGATTACTTCTCTTTATAGAAGATCTGAAAGAATCGACACACACACACACACACCCACACACACACACACACCCTCCTGGAATGATAAATTTTTATATGGAAAATCCTTTTCCCCATCCCTGTGTACATGGCTCCCCAGAAGCAGTTTTCTTCTAGCTGCCAAGGCCCCCAGCACACCTTCACTGTCCTATCTCAACTCCCCCCCACCCCCCGGGTCACAGTTTAGTTTGCAGAGACCTTGATCACCTTTCTCTTCCATAGGGTATTGCCTTGGTCCGTGACATTGATGACATCATGCCCACTGGACCTGGTGAGCAAGAAATAGCACCTAGTGTAGACTAACTGATAAGGCATTTGCATATTGGAGAGCAGGAAATAAATCAAAGTAAAGTTTAGGGGCCTTCTACTGCTGTGAAATTTCTGGAGGTCCAGTGGTATAGGGCATGAGGAGCTGAGGCGAAGGGCAAGTTGTACGTGACCCCTCACGGTGATTGGTGAGGCTTTTGGAATTCTGGAGGCAAAATAGTCCTCATTTGGGAGAGTTGCTCCGCTGATTTACCATTTGGTAAACCTTAGTCTCAAGTGGGGCCTGGAGTAGGAACAGGCTCTATGACAGGCCCACACTGCTGTGCAGGCTGGTGCACCACTTGGGTGGCATTAGCCAGATTCATCTGGTATTAGCCAGATTAGCAGCAGACAGGGATGCCACCTGGAGCCTTTGGCAGGTCCCCACTAGTGAGTAGCAGTATGGGCCCTTAGGACTTGGGAGCAAGGCTCTGCCATTATCCACAAGCCAACTACTTTCCTTTTGAGAAGATACTCTTGGCCTGTTACTAGGCCTCAGCAGAGGCTGAAGTTTGACCATGGTCCACCAAGTGGCCTGGAATGAAGCTGCCTGCTCCATGTAATGACCTGAGTATGACATGATTCGCTGAACCATGAAGTTGGGCATGCACCGCCACATCCGTCACCAAACAGAAGTGGTGAAGACTGGTATGAGAGGCCCTGAAGGCACAAGGACACAAGGCAGTGTCCCAAATGCCCCGGGACCCCACTCCTACAATGCTGTCTCCCCTCTCTCAGCCTGCACCTGTGGCTTTGCAGAGGGGTTGCCTGTGATCAGCTGACAGAGGAAGGGAATACCTAGACCTGGTTTACAGACGGTTCTGCACAACATGCAGACATCACCAGAAGGGGACAGCTGCAGTGCTATGGCCCCTTCTCTGGGACATACTTGAAGGACATTCATTAGTGAAGGGAAATCTCGAAGGGCTGAACTTTGAGCAGTGTATCTAGTCAGTACTTTGCATGAAAGGACAAATGGCCAGAGGTGTGACTTTATCCTCTGGCAGGTTTGGCTGCATAATACAAGAGTCAGAAGGAACCTGATTTAAAAATTGGTGACAAAAGCCGGCGATGCCGGCTTGCAGAAGCCACGAGGGATCCCTGAGGTGGGAGAATCTCCGGCTCCACGACAGAAGACTTTGAAGTGGCAAAGGTCACTGCATCCAGAGGGGCCCAGAAGAGGCAGGAGGCACTGCTTCCACTACTATAGCTTTATCCACAATGCAGAGCATCAAGTGTGTGGTGGTGGGCGATGGGGCTGTGGGCAAGACGTGCCTGCTCATCTGCTATACAACTAATGCCTTCCCCAAGGAGTACATCCCCACAGTGTTCGACGATTACAGTGCCCAGAGTGCAGTTGATGGGCGCACAGTGAACCTGAACCTATGGGACACTGAGGGCCAGGAGGAATACGACCGCCTCCGCACACTCTCCTACCCTCAGACCAATGTCTTTGTCATCTGTTTCTCCATTGCCAGTCTACCCTCCTACGAGAATGTGAGGCACAAGTGGCACCACTGCCCTGATGTGCCCATCCTCCTTGTGGGCACCAAGAAGGACCTGAGATCTCAGCCTGATACCCTGCAGTGCCTCAGGGAGCAGGGCCAAGCGCCCATCACACCTCAGCAGGGCCAGGCACTGGCCAAGCAGATCCATGCTGTGCACTACCTCAAGTGCTCTGCCCTGCAGCAGGACAGCATCAAGGAAGTGTTTGCTGAGGCTGTCCGGGCTGTGCTGAACCCCATGCCAATCAAGCGTGGGCAGTCCTGCATCCTCTTATGACCTTGGCCCTCACTTGGAGGCTGCCCCTGACCCCCCACCAGTTGTGCCTTGGCGCCTTATCTGCCCCCAGCTGTGCCTTAAGGACTAATTCTGGCACCCCTTGCCAGGGGGCTCCCTGAATACCTTTTTTTCCTTAAGGAGGCCCATGGGAAATGGATTTTGGGTCCTACCCCACTCTGCCTGAGAACACCAGGTATTCTCATGAGCTC